ATTAATGGATATTTTAGTTGAGAAATATTTATATCGACACTGCCCACAAAAAAAAAAGTAACTGAATACAGCTTATAAATTAAGCATAATGTTTGGTTTAAGTGAAATAATTTATAACCAATATTTACTGAATTTTTAATTGATTTTTAATAAAAGTGACAGGCAAGAAGACATCAGTACTTCTCTTAAATAGAAAAATCTCCCAAACCTTTTTATTCTTTGACATTGATTGCAATCATGATCCTTGAAAAGTGACTTCAGACTGTAGTGACTTATGGTGGATACTAAACATGATAATAATCATTTTTTACTGTAAGCATATTTTTTATTAACTGGGGTGGAGGACTGTAATCTAAAACTAAACCTACTTAAGAACAAGCTTTAAAATTATATTGAATTGTGTCTAATTCTATTGATTTATCTATTTCCCTTTTAATAATAATAATTTTAGCTATATATAAAATTCTATGACTTCCATCCATCCATCACACTCTCTAAAATAGCCATACATTGACTGATTGAAACCAAATTTTGGGGAGAAGTGCAAACAGGTAAGGGGGTACAGAGTACAGTTGATTTTATTAGAGTTTATATAACCACAGAGAGTTTTTGTTAAATTTTTTTTCCAAACAAATCAGCTTATTCAAATTTCATCGATTAGTTTGTGAAATTGAATGAAACCTAGTTTGTAAATCTTGACAAAAAAATGTTAGTGATAACATAGGTACCTCCACGAGATCGCTAAAAAAAGAGCATAGCATGATGAAAAAGACGCCAAACTTGACGAAAACAAAATTTTATCGTCTAAATGTTTGTTATTCATTAAGAGGAAAGGTCAATGTATTTTTGGGGTATTTTTTTTCATTTTTAATCGTTCCTAGCACGTCCGAAATTTTCGTTAAAAATCTAGTTTTTTGAGTCAGCAAAATTGACCATTTTTTTCCATTTTAAAAAAAAACTGGAAATCTGACTTTGAAATTTTTTTAAATTTCAATTATCATTTTTTCAAAACTTATTTTAAGAAAATCAGAAATTATAATGTTTATTTAAAATATTTTGAACCAAGCTTAACTTAGCTTTTGTGCCAAAAAGATGTAATTTGAAAATAAAACAAAGCAGGTCATAAACTTTCGCATCTCTTGACATGTGATGAATGATATATTTACAATTCCATGAGGCTAATTTGTTCTACTGGAAGGAGAAAAGTGAAATAATTTACATTTACGTGAACAAATTATTTACCCCGTTATTTTTAACAAAACTTTCAGCGGTCTAATTTTTTTTTTTTTTTTTTGTACTTAGCTTTCACCTTTACGTTTATGATGCTTTATGGGAAATATATTCTAAAGAAATTAAAATAAAACTGTTAAGAGTGACATTAAATTTCATATTTCTTAAGAAAGGTATCTAATTAATTTATAGGTACCTTTCTTATGAAATTTTATCAGAATTGTACATAAAATACTATAATTTTATGTACATTTATTACATTCTATTGTTATTTGTATTTGCATTCATTTTATTATTAATTTTGATATTTCATTTATGGAAAAATGTCGTAACTGACATTAATATAAAAATAAGATCATATAAATTTCATAAGATGATACTGATACTTGTAGGTAACCTTCTCAGTTGAAATTGAAAATCAAATTAACTTCTCCACACGTGTTTAAAAAAAGTAAAGGCCTTAACAGCGGAGAACAATGCTTAACTCAAATAACGCAACTTAATTATATTCTGGTTGGTCTTCCGTATTTTTATAATTACAGCTCGATTATAAGCACAAAATTACATTTCTTAATTACTGGGGTTCTTCTGATTAGTCAAAATGATACAATTTACAACGCTAAAAAAAAGATCTATCTCATAAGGACACTTATGAAAGCCTGTCTTGACTTTTATCTAATTTTATAATATTTTAACAACTTAAATGTAAAATCTATTATAATTAATGAAATAACAAATAATTGTATTAAAAATTCATTTTCATCGAAAAAATTTTTTTGCTTTCAGAAAATATTGTCCATATTCATAAAAACAACTAAAAGCAAATAAAAGCATTTGAAATTAAATAATATCTTTGTTTTATTGAGTTTTGTATGTTACAATTCAGAGCTGATTTTCAGGTACTGGGTATCCAATTAAAAACAAAAAAAAACATGATTTGGATTCCTCAAAGCCCTGTGCTTTTAATTATTGTAATCACTAAAACCGATGCGATCAATTTCTAGCGTTTTCATAAAATTAGTTATGGGGGGTAATAAATATTTAAAAAAATATTTCTACCATGACTTTCATAAAAAAAAACATTTATAATAATTTCGATCATCTGTGAATAGTTCCTGAAAGTTTCATTAACATCCGATAATTATTTCTATTTTTGCACGATTTTTTCAAATTAATGTGTGTCATACCAAAAAAAACGTGCTAAAAATTGTCTGTTATTTACTAGTTCCGCTGATACAAATAGAAACAAGGTTTTTTAATCAAAATTTAGAATTTTCTAAAAGAAGGAAAATTTTTTAAAATAATTAAAAAAAACTTTGGTCTTTCCTCTAAATAATAACATAAGCATTTAGACAATAAAATTTTGTTTTCGGCAAGCTTGGCGTCTTTTTCATCAAGCTATGCTCTTTTTTTAGCGATTTCGTGGAGGTACCTATGATAACAACAATACTAAATACTGTAAGGATTTCAACATGTGTTGGCGTGTTGCAAAAAAATTCTAGTGATTTAAAATTACTGTATTTGCTGGCCTTTTGGAATCACCCAAATTTTGGTATGGAATATTTAGTGGGATGGGAATGCACACATCACAACTTTAAAAAATCAAAATTATTACCTTACGTTTATGTGACATTCTCACCAACCATGAACACAGTATATACTACTGGTACTCTTTTTTTTTTTTGAAAAAAAAAAAAAGAATTTTAGTACATTTGTCATGCATTTATTGAAAATTGTTTTAGTTGTTTTTCAAAGAGCAACCTCTGTACATACAGTAAATTCATAACAGCTACAAAGAAATCTAATGGTATCACTGAACACTGGTACATATGGTAATAAGCAAAAAAAAAAAACCAAACCCAGAAATTCCAGTACTTGTATATCAATAAAACACATGCACAAAGCAAGCATCAGTATACCAGTCAAAGCAAATATTTCTGTAAAATCTGGTATTTCTACAAAACAAACAGCAAAATATTGTGCAATTCCATAAATTTCTTTTTCCTGGGTGAATTTTTCGGGGATGGTATTTTTATGTTTGTCCACTTCCAGGAATCTTAGTTTCAGAACTAAGCTTTATGTGTGCACTGATTCCTGGTGAACCCCACTTTTTTTGTGGTCTTCATGTCCCTCTCATACATGGTAGTGTTGTATTAGATTCAGGGTTTTTTTTTTTTTTTTTTTTATTTATTTTTATTTTTTAATTCATGTCAATTAGGCCAGCAAATACAGTATATTGGTGTCTAGTCTTATTAATCCATTTATTATTTCCCTTTAATAATTATTTTATGATTTAAAATTATATTGAATGGTATTACTACTGTTATTATTATGATTATTACTACTACTCCACCTTTAATACTAATATATATTTAGTGATTTTTAAATACAAGAATATGAGTACCTAAAAAAAAAAAAATTTCTGTATAAAATGTTTGAGATTTTGTCTCCCAGATCTGATCATATTCATTCATTCCAAATCCATTCTGATATTACTCATTTGGTTTTGTTAAACTGAACAAATTTCTTTTAACAGACTATAAATTTTTCAAATTTATAGTCTGTTCTGTTGTAGGTAAACATTAATCCTGTGAATTTTTTAATAAATTTGTTTTAATTCTATAACCTTCTAAAAGTAATTTTATTTACTTTAAATTCTTACAATATAAGATGATAAAAAAATGTCATTAATTCATTGTAGCCATAAGGGAATATCTGTACTGCAACCATGACAGCAGTGATGTGTCTTGGGCAAGATAATTTGACAGAGCCCATTCTTCTAGTTTTTAATTTCCTTTTCCTAGACTGGTTGCTACCTCAATGAAAGAGAACCCAGTCTGTTCTATTTAACTCATAGCTGGAAGAAAATGGATTCATGCCTTTTCCAAGGGCATTAGTGTAAAGTGAATTAAACAGAATCAAGTGAGAATTGAACTTGGCATGCTGAATTTTGTTACAATGCTTATAACAATACACTATATGAACCTCCACATTAAGAGCATAGTTTTAATATTCTAAAATATTAGGATTCTCCACAGTAGCTGAGCAGGTTTAAAATACTACTATCAATATTTTAACACACTCTTTTCTTTTAAGACGCAAAATGCTAATTCTTAAATGTCAATAACAACTTAGTATAGCTTTGAGAGAAGAAACTATTTTACTTCAGTATTTGATTTGAACTTTCAAATAAACAATGTCTTGCAAGCATAAAATTGATTCATTTGGGAATCATCATGAATTGTTACATTATTTGAAATTATTTTCTCATGTCAAAATATCCAAAGTGCAGTTAGCTATTGTTTGTATACTGTATGAATTTTTATTTATTTGATTGTTAAAAATTTACATTTTTTTTTATTTACATTTTTACATTGACAAAGTTTACTTTTTTTCTTTACATTTTTTTCTCCACATTATTTTTTTTTTTTTTTTTTTTTTTTGCTATATTTATTTTGCTTTTTTTTTCCTTTTTTTCTTCATTCAAGTGCTCATTTATGATTGAAAATGTCTTTTGTTGTCATTTTGGTTTGTCATTTGTAATGGGATGTCAGTATTGAAATCATGCGTGCAGTTCACAAAACTAATAAACAATTTGTAGTAATGAGTTTTTTTTTTTTTTTTTTTTTTTATACAAGAATTCTTTTTAGAATTACAAAACGGAAAGAAATTGTTTTATATTGAATGTTTCAGAAGTAATTTTAAAATATAGCAAATTTTTAAAAATATACCAGTTTTTTTTTATTATGACTTATTTTATTTACTTTCAGGTGAAAGTAGTAAAATTCTCCTACATCTGGACAATAAACAATTTTAGTTTTTGTCGAGAGGAAATGGGAGAAGTATTAAAAAGTTCAACATTTTCTGCTGGAGCCAATGATAAATTAAAATGGTGAGTTGTCTCCAAACCCTTCATTTCTTTTCTTTGATTTTTATGTAACTGATAGGTTTTTCATATTTACTAAGTTTATCTTAGTATGCCATAAAACAATATGTGGTGAGAGTAGAAGTAAAATCATTACACTTCTTCTATGTACCATATCCTTTCAGGATGTTGGCGATTATGGCTCTTCACAATTTCCTTGGCTCTTAATAATTTTTATCTTTTTGCAATCTCTCTCAAACCCTGCTCTATATCTGGGACACCTTTCAGTTATAGTGAACAGAAAAGATGCTTAACATATTTAAAACTTGTGCATTAGTATTTGCTAAGTGGAACATACTTTAACAATTTTTACTGATTTTTGTCAAATGTTGCAAACCTGTCTGGGGCACTAAAAGGTTAAGGAAAACTTTCATTTACAGTGAGCAGAAGAAAATGTTTGCAAAATATATATATATATATATATATATATATATATATATATATATATATATGTTTGAGAACATTTTAAATCTATGTTGTTCAGGCTGTAAATTTTAAACATTTTTGATTTTAAGTTAAAATCACTGAAATATTTTTAAGTGTGTCAGATTTTTAAAAGTTAACATGTGCTGATTTCTGTCATTTTTGTTCATTTTGTTCAGTATAATAATCACGGTTACAACTGAAAAATCTTTTTTTTTTTTTTTTTTTTTTTTTTTTTCTCTCACCAAGATTCTGCTGTTGAAAATGTCAGCAAACAGAATGATTTTAATGAATTTGATTTGCGTAGTTTGTGATTGTATGGCACTGAGTAACTCTTAATAATCCTAACTTCATGATGGGAACCAAAATACTGTTTGAATTTGGGAGATTGAGGAGTTATTTATTTACATTATTTATAAATGGACTATCTTTGTTGTTGTTTTCACGACATTCCAGCTATTGTGTCCTCTGGCCTTCATCTACACAGTCTTCCAAGTGATAAATTATTTTTCACGCCCCCCCCACTCTTTTCCCACAGCCAAAATGTTGCACACGTCTCACTACCCTATTGCTGTTTCCATGGCAAATCTTCTGATGAGCTACCTTCCTTGGTCTCATCAATCCTGACTGTTGCAGATAAAACCCACCATGTCACAAACACAAGGATGAATCATTCTCATTCTCTTCGGGTTCCATTATTCAACTTGGGTAGCTGTTTCCCAAGAATTGCTGCTTTATGGAACAGACTCTTGGCAATCCCAATCACTACAATCTTCAAGTCAAGGGTTAACCATTATCTTTCCTACATAACCACATGCACTGAACTTCACTTATTACCTTTTCTTATGCTCATACAACACTTGAGTGGCTCTTGGGCCTTGTATTAGCTGAACATTCTTTTTTATACCCATCCATATACTCATAATTTTCACTTCATACTCTTACATATATATTAGACACCTCATTCAGTAACCCTCTACCTTGAGTGGCTTTTTAGCCTTAAATTGAATGAAAATAAGTTTTTAAAAAAAATTTAAATACTGTTTGGTATTTTTAGTGAGTTAAAGAATTTTGGGCAAATTTGGACCTTTGTGATCTGTCTATATTTCTGAGATAAACTATTTATATTGTTTGGACTGTTTATTGCCAGATTCACAACATTTTGGCCATTGTACATTCCAACCTTTATCAAGTGATATACATTGGAATTTCAAACTGAACCCTTTATTTAGTCCACAAGAGTAGATTGTTCTAATTCTATGTACCATGCCCTTTTGTATATCTCAGTATAAGTTAATTCCCTTTAGTAACTCAACTTTCCAAGTTTTTGTTTCCTCTGATGTGGCCAGTCTGAACGATGTAAATAGTGCAAATTGAACCACAAAAAAACAGTGTCTCAAAAGGATGGTTTTTCCATTGACTGTTATTATTTTAACTGCCTTCACTTTTAAAAAGTGATGATTGCATTAAAACCTAAATGTATGAATGCAGTGAATTTATACATTTTCTTTGTTCTTGAGAATTGACAAAATTAATAAACACTTCATTTATTAGATTGCTTATTGAAATGGTTGGCAAAACATCGGCTAATTGTCAATCGATTCAAACTTTATAAAACAGTAAATAATAAGAATTTCCTTATAGTTCACATTTATTTCTTTATAAATTGGTAAATGATAAATATTGCATTGCCTTAGTTTTAATTGTATTTGTAGAATGTTGTAAATATGAAATTATTCTTGTAAATAAACAGTCTAATAAATAAATAGTGTTTAATATTTTTGTTTTAAATTCTCAAGAACAAAAAAAATATATAAATTCACTTTCATGTGTTTAGGCTTTAATACAATTCAATCATCACTTTTTAAAACAATAAACCTTGCTGAGGATGGAAGATAGTTAAAATATCATAGTTGTCAAGTGAAATCCATCCTTTTGACTTTTTTTTTTTTTTTTTTTTTTTTTTTGTGGGGTATAAAATCCAAGTTTGCCTATTTGCTTTCTTTGCCTTTTTTTTTTTTTTTTTTTTAAAAACCTGTTTTATGTAAAACTGATTTTGTTTTTTTTTTTTTTTTTTTTTTTTTTCATTTAATTCTAGGTGTTTGCGGGTCAACCCAAAGGGATTGGATGAAGAAAGTAAAGATTATCTTTCCTTATATTTATTATTAGTTTCCTGTAACAAAAGTGAAGTCAGGGCCAAATTTAAATTTTCTATTTTGAATGCCAAACGGGAAGAAACAAAAGCAATGGGTAAGTTTCATTTCATATTCTTAATTTTTTTTTTTTTTTTTTTTTTTTTTTTCCTTATAGAATTATTCATCACACATTTACAATCATTCTTGATATTGTTAGGAATTTTACAGTTGGATTAATTCATGTTTTTCTTTTTTATAGCTCAATGCTTGGCTACTTGTTTTCCAAATACCCCCAACTTTGCAAGCTATCTAGCCAGTTCCTGTTGCAGATGCCTGCTCAGGCACATTTGTTTTTTCAGAGCCTACCTGTGGTTTTTTTTTTTTTTACTGCAACTATTCTGAGCTGACCTTAGTCACAGTTTCTGGGAGGGAGTGCATAATCTGGCATGATCAACAGTTTGAACAAGGCTAGTAACCCTTGGTCACTATAATGTGTGACTTCATTTTGATACAATCATCAATGGTTTCTGTACAGTTTCCTCTACTCAATTTTGCTCACAAAGTTTGGATCTGATTGTGATATGGATTTCAGGCACTTTCCAATAGTGCTTCCCAGGCTAATAACATCAAGAAGTCCTCTCCCTGACATCATCAATGGTGAGATTTGAACCCCTGTCTTATGGTTGGAAGTAAATGTTCTAACTACTTGGCCAAGCACCCACATTGTTAGCTCATACAGTGTTAAAAATAAGATTAGTATTTTGGACCATAATCAAAATTACATTGAGTGGTACTAGAGATAATAACTAAAAGTTTACTGGATTTTGTTGAGTGGTACTAGAGATAATAACTAAAAGTTTACTGGATTTTGAATAGTTTTCTATGATGAAAATTACTAAAAACATTTGTCATTTTTTTTTTTTTATGAAATTGTAGTTTTATTTGTAAGTTAAAAGCAATTGATTTTTTTTCTATGCTCATATTTACCTAATAAAAGGCTCAAGATCCACTCAGGACAGACGTTTATGTAACAGAGTTGGATCAGCCTGATAAGACTTTGGTGGAGTTGGTTGTATATGGTGCTGTAAGCACCAGGAGTTGTGTGCTCTTCCACGGTGAGCAGTTGAGAGACCTTCTTCTTAGAGTAGGTGGCGCTGACTATTTGCATATGAACGATATTAGGCAGGTATTAGCCAATAGTCAGCATGGGACTGGCACTGGGAGAACTATATAAGCACCAAGAGTTGTCCTCTTCCACAATAAGCTGTTGAGAGAAAACCTTCTTCTTAGAGTAGGTGGCGCTGACTATTTCCATATGAACGATACTAGGCAGGTATTAGTCAATAGTCAGCATGGGTCTGGCACTGGGAGAACTATATAACACCAGTTTTTTTTCTCAGTCTAAAGAAGTGTTCTCAACGTGTGGACGTGCAAAAACCAGACAGGTTACTAAATAAGATTGTTGCCCAGGAATGAAAGTAGCAGAAACCATCATGCCTGAGTAGAGGGAACAAAATACCAAGACTAGCCCTCTCCCTTTTGGTAGGTCTAAAAGACCCACTAGGAGAAAGGGATAACAAAGGCTGCTCGAGGATGATACCTGAATCAGCCAAGCATGGGCAGGCTTCTTAACAAAATGCCAAACAAGCACTTGTGCCTTTCAATAAAAAAAAATTTAAAAAATTGCAAGTTCACATTGTAGTTGTCCTCCTTTCACTTTCTTATAATTTCAAATTGTGGGTCCTGCAAGATGATCACATCAAGAAATTGGGGAAACGTCCATATGTCAACTCTTTGTTCCATGCTCAGAATCTAGTAGCAGGATGATGTCACCAGCCTTGAAGTCTTCGGCTATATTCATTTATCAATTCTCAATTCATGTCGTAGACATTGGGGGATGACAAGCACTGCATACAGAAACACCCACACTATGGAGAGATGGCCTATGGCAAAGAACACTAAGTTGACCAAGATAGCCTGACAAAGAATCTGTCATAATCAGCCTTCAAGAGTTTCATATCGAGCACCATTAGCTTGATGAGTGTACCAGAAATAGTTTATACTGACAAACCAAAATCAGTCGAGTCTCTGCAAATTTTGAGAAGACTTAACATCAAAGGCTCCTTACTGGAGAAAAACAACAGAGAAAAGCAGGCAGGTATTACAGCAACTTTCAACAACTGTACTGTTCCAGGCTCTGTACTGTCTGTCCAATTGCAGAGCCATTTGAGCATTTGCAAGTGAATGCATAAAACAAAAATTTTTTTTTTTTTTTTTTTTTTTTGTATCCATAAGCCAACCATCCACAATGTTGTGAGGAGTGGTCTCTTAACTTTCAATAGTCTCAATTTGTGTGTTAAAGAGAACAGTAAAAGTTACAAACAAATAACTTTTAATTCAGACATTTACTTTTTGTATCCTCCTCCTCCTCATTAATTGCATTCATTCTTGTGCCAAGTTTCAACCAAGACTTAGTGAATTTGAAATTATCCAAGAAGACTTAAAAACTGAAAACAGAATAACAAATAAGCACTTCATTATTTTTCTTTACTTACGTAACTTTTTATGTAAGCCATTGATTCCCAAAGTGGGTGGTACTGCCTCCTAACTGTCGATATCATCTGATATAATTTCACCAAACAAATAGACTGATCTGTCTGCAGTGGAAAAAAATCACAAGTTTATAGAGAACTCAATGGGCATAATCTATTTCAACTTCCGGCGGAACAGGTCATCTTATTAAAGCACAAGTTTACATTAACTGAAGGCTATCAGTTCAATACTTGTACTGGGTAAGAAATACACACCTGAGCCACTCAACAACTTAGCACACCTCCATTGTACTTGGAGTGTATCTTGCCTTTACTTTACAGTGTATCGCATTTATACAATAATTATCCTGTGAAATGCTCAGATACTCTTTTGGCATGAACACCAAGAAAATCCAATCAAAGGTTGGCTAAACATTTGTGGGGACATTAGGGTTGTATTTTGGTATGGAGGGGTGGGGGGTGGCAATTCAAAAATGTCTGGGAACCACTGATTTAAGCCTTTTAAAAATTTTGATTGATAATTTCTGTTCTATGAAAGCTTATCCTTTCTTTGAAAGATTTGATATAGGGGTTCAGATATCTTTTATTAGTTAAAAATACACACATATATATATATATATATATATATATATATACATATATATATATTAAGAAATGGACAAAGTCCGACAATATATTTATTAAAGACATTTTTATGTTTAACGTTCTTTTTTTTTTTTATAGATACAAGTATTTAAGTAAATGCTCTGTTTATAATAAACAGTATAAACTAACATTTACCGGCCTGAATGTCCGAGAAATTTTCATAGAAAATATTCGTCCTTAAATACTTGTATCTATAAAAAAGAACGTTAAACATAAAAATGTCTTTAATAAATAAATTGTCGGACTTTGTCCATTTCTTAATATATGACGTCATTTGTTTACATTTGATACGCCAGAGCAGTTATGAATGTACGAGATTCATGGAAGATTGAAGTTTATAAGCAGTAAATTCGACCTTGTCTACCGAACGCTCCTTTGTGGCTGGTCGGTAAGGCACGTCAGCGTAAATTACGGTTCCATATAGGATGCAGGTTCGAATCCTGTCAAAGGACGAATATTTTCTATGAAAATTTCTCAGACATTCAGGCCGGTAAATGTTATTTAATACTGTTTATTATAAACAGAGCATTTACTTAAATACTTGTATCTATAAAAAAGAACGTTAAACATAAAAATGTCTTTAATATATATATATATATATATATATATATATATATATATATATATATATAGTATCAAAGATATTTTCTTTGAATTTTAAGGAAATTAATGACATTAATATATCTACCAAAAATTATTCATGATAATTGAAGTATAATTTGATTTTTGCAAAAGGTTATCAAGGGTAATGAAAGACATTTAAATATAAATTATTATATTTTTAGAACTAGGCACTTCAGTAAGGTTTATACAGTATTTATAAAGGAGAATTTTTTGTGATGAAGCTATGTTGTCCTTTAATTAATAACTCTCAGAATGATGATGATGTTCTCATGCCACTTTTACTCAGTGATATAATAATTTGTAAATTTTCTAAGAATTTTGGCTTATGTATTCATGTGAAATATAATTGAATTCTGTTAAGGAACTTGAATATGGACAAGAATATGTTATCAAGTGGAGAGTTTAATGTCGTAAAAACTCATTTCATTTTCGAATTGTGTTTAAGTTACTCATTGAGTTTTCAAATTTAAAATAAAATTCCCTCATGAATAAAAGTGTACATACAATATTTTAGTTAATTTTAGCATATTTGCATATAACTTATTTTAAATGCTCTTAATCCAATAAAAAACCTACCCTCTTGAGCGAAAAAGGTTGTTTCAAATCTGCATAAATACCCAGCTTGATGTCAGCAAAATTATCTAGCATTACCATAGTTACTTTTATTACCATCATAAATATCTAATTTTATTACTTACTTTCAGCTGGTAAAAACAAAGTGAGCTTGTTTTATTTCTCTATTAAACCAGTGCAACACAAAATCCTTTCTTTTGGCTTTTCACTGCTTAAGATTTAATTCTCAATCTACAAAACAATTCAAATTTGACTTCTTTAAATGTTTGAAAAGAAACTGAAAAGCAAAACATTTTTCTGTGAATTTAATAACAAATTGCCTCTTACATTCATCAGTCATTTGATGTCAAGTAATTTGGTTGTTTATTTATAGAGAGTCAAAGAGCATACAGATTTGTGCAGGGAAAAGACTGGGGTTTCAAGAAGTTTATTAGGCGGGACTTTCTAATGGATGAAGCCAATGGACTTTTACCTGATGACAAGTTAACAATATTTTGTGAAGTAAGTCCTTTCACTTTCTATTCTTTAAAGTAAGTTCAGTAAAGTTCAATGTGAATTCAATGAAATGGTAAATATATGAAAACAATTTGGAAAATTCTTTTCACTTTGACATGTTCTCCTGATGAACTGACATCATCAGAAAAAAAACTTTATTTTACAAGAATAATATCTACATTAATGAGACTAAATGTCATTCATATTAAATGGTTGAATGCTTGTTTTTTTTTTGTTTTTTTTTTTTTTGCTTCATTAAAGGAATTAGATTTTGACTGGAGTCTAGGAAATATAAACAATGTGCTTCAAAATACCTCAGTGAAACATCCCAAGATGTTCACTCAATATATGGCCCAAGAGTTACTCAAGGTAGAGGGTTACTGAATGATGTTGCATGAACATAAGAGATCCCCCAAAACACCACAGTAAAACATCCCAAGATTTAAAGAATTTTTTTTTTTTAATGTTCACCCAATATAAGAGCCCAGTGACTATGAAAGCTGAAATGTCTTATTTTTAACTAAAATAATAAATCTATTTTTGTGTGTGCGCCCTTCTGAAATAACTGATTAATCTCACAATGTTCAAAATAAATGAGATGTTAATATATTTAGTTTTGGACACCAGCAAAAAATGGATTAAATGTAAATATTTTTCCCCTTAATGTTCCATTATGAAACTGGTTATCTCCCCTTAACAAAGGTTTAAAAAAAACTTTGCTAAAGGGAGATAACCAGTTTCATAATAGAACATTAGGGACGAATTTTTTTAAATTCGTACTGCGAATATTAAGTTATCTTTGTAAATCAGACAGAATTGGTTAAGATAACCGAGAAAGAATAAAAGGAAATGGAGAAAAATTAATATACATTTTTATTTTTTTTCATTTATAACTTTGCATTGTTTTAGGAATTATAGTGAAATAAGTTCCAAGCTGATGGAAGAGTAATGATGAATGATTGCACACTCAAAGAAGTTCCTTGCTTTGAGTGTCTATCAGGACTCCAGTTCACTCTAAGACTTTAAGTGGAACTCATATATACAATCTATTGCTAAAGATGCTGGAAAAATGGTTGGTTCCATAAAATACCCAACACCAACTGCCTTTATCTTTACAAGAGTCAAATCAGATGAAAGTATTGCTGCTATATCTGGGCTGGAGCTACTCAGTCTTCACTTTCTAGCTTTGACAGAGTTCAAAAGTTTTTACACAACCTTGCAGGCAACAAATTATTTTTCATCCTACAAACTATTTTCCATGTAATGTTTCAAGAGGAAGCTTCCCCTACCACTATAATCTTAACCTAAGTCCAGGGTCAGCTGTTAGCTATCACACACACACACATATTGCATATATTTTGGCAGCATGTTTTCATTAAGACATGTCTCATTAAATAATTTAGACAAGTTTTGTCTACTTATCTTTAATAGGATCCTCTCATAATTATGGACAAGTTTCTTAGTATCCTTATTAAAGGAAAAAAGAAAGTTACCATGTTGATGCATATTATTTTGAGTCCTTTCAACGTTAGCATAATGTCATCATCAAGGTGTTGTTTTTTTCTAAGACAAAAATTGTTGTGTTCATCATTATTCTAAGACAAACTTGTTGTGTTCATTGAAAAATTAAGTTTTTCTTTCTTCTTGATGGTCATGTGATATCTGTATATTTTGCATACCAGACAACAAAGTAAGGAAGTTTTATTTCTCAGGAACCTCTGATGCTGAGAACATGAAATTTTGTTGTTAACAGACAAATTGGCAGCATAATTTTATCTTCACTTTGACCTCTTCCTTTTTAACAGTCTGGTCATAAAATTTAAAGGACTTGACAATCTTGTGTGCTACAAGCAAGGTATGACTAGAAAATGAAGAAAACAAATGCATAAAAATAACTCATTACATCGAGTAACTGACTAAGCAACTTGAGGTCTGAAAGTTCTGTTTTGCTAAGCAAACTGATGGCTCACCTTGACAATGGAGGTATTTTATTTTAAAAAAAAAAAAAAGTGTCTATATTTCTGAGATGAGGTATTATGTACATTATTTACCTGAAGAAGGCCGGAGTGTACAACGGCCGAAACGTTGTGATAAATATGGCGACAAAAATGAGGACAATAGTTCGAATAATGTAAATAATAAAAAAAAAAAAAGTGTATATATCTTTTCACATCTTTTTGATATCTGCCAAAAAACAGAAAATTATAGAATTTGAAATCTTTAATTCAAACACTATTGCAAAAATACTAGGCCCAGATAATAGCATTTCATCCAAAAAGGTTATAAGATACCACAGGTATTGAAATATTCCCAACCCCACCACCAAAAATAGCAAACTGAACAATATGAATGACATGATATAACTCAAAATAGTTCAAATAAATTATCCATCAACTTTCCATTCATCCTCTTGCCAGACTAATGTTGCAATCGGTGCCCCTACAATGACTGCATGCTGTTATGCACATAAGACCAGATGTTTGTGCTTCAAGGACTCTTGGACAAAATCTTGCACTTACAACGGACAAATCTCAGTAGGTTCTCAGAAGAATCTAGATTGGTAAGAACTGGGACTAAAGTACCATTTCTCATTTCCCAACCCCCAATTGTAAGGCACAAGTTGGCAATGACCTAAAGTCTTCCAAATCATAGCTTGAAGATACAGAGATTGTAGAACAATACTGACCGTTCAGTTGGAGGCAGTCTTTCAGGCTGTAACTTCTTCGTCAATGTTGTGACATACCCCATATACTTGATGTACCCTAGGGAGTCCAATGTATCGCCTGATTTTCCTTCATACATCTTGACAAAAATCTACAACCCCACAGATACAACTTGGGCAGGAGAAGCAGCTGCATCAGTAGTGCAACAAGACTTGTTCTCCTTTGATTTCTAAATAAGCCTGATTATCTCACATTTCACATGTCCAAATACAGCTGATGTTGTCATATCCCCTCCTATGCATGGATGATTGGCAAGTTTTGTAGAACATAGGAGTTTGTCTTCTCTGCAATTTCATGGATGCTAAGAAGCTTCATCTTTTCCTTGGAATGCATATAGATGTCAGCCATGTCGGGGAAAAGTGGAAAATTAAACGAACAAGGATGTCAATGTCATCAACTATTACAGTCACTAAATTTCCTTCAGTAGCTAGTTTGAGCATTTCAGAAACAACGTCTGTGTCCGTCTGTCTTTACTTTGGACCACCAAATGATGTCTGCTTCTAAGGAATGACATCACAAAGGTCAGTTTGTTAAAATGTTTTCTTGTTTGTGAGGAGGAGCTATTGATGAACAGCAACTTTCAAGCCATTTTCGATTTTTATTTTATCAGAATTCTGAGCTACTCTTTGCTGACGTTCATGGTCTTTTATGGATAGGCTTGCATTGTAACCATCAAAAATTATGCTTGATGGCCTGCACTTGGCTTTCACATAGCTCAGATACTGTGCAACCACATCTTTGTATGTCCCCCTCGTCTACTATTTTGCTTGGTGGAGGAGAGAACCTCCATCTAAAATAGACATGTCTTGTTAGTGGCTGAGATTCAGGTACATTACTGGTCAGATGATGTTCCAGCATGGCTTTGTTTGTCTTTCTCATTTGGAAATTCTTAACAATCAAAGTTGGAAATGGAGTGAGTTTGAACTTGAAGAAAAGTCACATCTTTGCATCAGAACAACCAGCCTTGAAAATGGAGCAATAAGGTCAACATGAACATTTTGATCATCAATCTTTACACATTTTTCCAGTTCAACAAGTGTATATACTTGAAAACTTCTTTTCAGTGAGCTCTCTAAAATGTTCGCATTGTTAAGCTTCTTCAGGAGAGTGACCAATCTCCGTGACGATATCACAATTGATTCCAGCACCATTGGATGCTGTCAAACTAGATGATACTGATTGTAGTTCTGGCTGGATTGGGTCAAAGTGGTTGTGCTGAGAGATCCAATTGAAGACTCTGGTCATACCAATAAGATCTCTCTTCCGACATGCGCTTGTCAGCTGTACATGCTGCTTGCTGATCCTGTGGGAAAGAACAGTCAATGTTGTCATGGCATCATGCACTTGGGCTCTGATGTGAATATTATACATTGACATCAATTTCACTGATTCCAGAAACACTGGCCCCTTAATTAGCCCACCTCTTTATTAATCTCATCATCACTTGTTCAATAATGGGGTCAACAGACAAGCCAGCCCAGTAATGGTCACTGTATCACACAGAATGAAACCTGTACTCTGAGAACTGTTGATGCAGCCAAGGATGCTTTTCAGGCAATTCTAGCATCCATTGTAGGTACAATCATGCACTCTTTGCATAATTGAAATGCCCGGTTGTTGCAAATAATTTTAGCAGCCACCCAACTGCCACAAGATGCAAATTCTGGCACAAATAAACAGTTTAAGCATGTCAATGTACTCAGTGTAGGCCAGCCATAACTTTGCTGTTCTTGATTTGCTCCCAAGTTTATGCATCAGAGTATTGAGCATTATACAAGTCATTTATTTTATCCACATCAAACTGTTCTAGATTCTCAGGCAAAAAACCTTGCACCACATCATGGAAATTATCTTGAAACACATTAGATGTACTTCTTAAGAGTTCTTTCAATATCTAGAAGCTCGACTTTATTCTCCACAGAAGCAAACCCCTCTTCCATGCTGAAAGTAATCTCTCTCTTTCCCCTTCCTCTGCTACATCAGTTGTCTGATGACTGAGAAGTCAATTGGTCAGCATCTACCTGAAGCACAGCATCAATAAGTTTGCTCATCAATGCTACATATACAAAGAAGTGTGCTTGTAAAACTCTTGAGACAGCCTTTCTGGAAAGAATGTGTGACATTGAGTTTCCTTGTAGATGGTAGTTATTAACTTGCCAAACCAGCACCATTCATAAAACTAGCAACACTTCCTTAGAAGCTAATGATGATCTGAAAGCCTCCCAATCTGTGGAATATGCTCATCGACTTGGCACTGATAATTTCTGAAACTTTCCACTGCAACAGTTGATCAACAGGGATGCATGGGGTTGGAATGTGCAGCTGCTTGGCTTTCATTTTCACAAATGAAAGCGTGGAATACATACAACTGTCATTTGAAGGCTTCAAGTCTATGATGGGAAACATTGTAATATTAGCAGGTGGCAAGTATGATCCAGTTGATATATCTTGAATAAAACTAACCTTATCCACAAGTAGAAGTCCTTTTTATTGAACAATAAAGTGTCAAATCAGCTTCATCTAGCTTTTCACTAGGGCTTGAAAGCACATCTCTCATCGGCCTGTAAATATAAAATTCTCCAGAAATTCAAAAAAATGAATCCATAACAATTCACAAATAATTTTGGTGGTCCTTTAACTACTAATTTTAAAATAGATTTTCACAACTTCAACAATTTATCTTTACAACCCCTCTGGCTTTAAAAATACATTTTTTCTCAAGGGTATGTGAAAAAAAAAAACCTATATAATTAAACATTTACTACAAAGACTAAGTAATAAAAAATAAAATTTTTATATATTCAGATTTCTTAAACTTCTTGTAGTCCAGCACTCCTCTTAGAACCTGAACAACACAAAATCCATATGTCACTAGCAAAAATAATACAATATGAATAGATCAGCAGCATTCAAGAAGAAAAGTTAAAATGCAGCATTAAACAAAATTTCTGTATTCCTTTCTATTCACTCTTGGTTGGTTGGTTGTTCACATCACTGATCCAGAAACAGTCCAAATGAAGTCTATGTTCAAATAAACCTATCTCTTGAACACTATTAGCTGATACTATCTGATCTATAAGAAGTAGTTACAGATTATATTGCACAATCAGGAAATATAATCTCAACTACTAAACATTAAAAATTGACATCATAATGTTTGAAGAACTCGTAAGACACATTCAAATTAAATTGTGTATGAAAACCACTTACAAGTGTAAACTACTGAAGTGGCTTTCATCTTTATAGCACTTGTTTTTTTTTTGTTTTTTTTTTTGTAAAGAAAGCAGTGCTCAGAAAAATGACCATAAAAAATTCCCCAAGGTGGATAAGAGAAATTTATTTATTTTTATTTTATTTTATTTTTATTTTTTTTTTTTTCAATATATATAAAATTCCACTTCCAATGATACTGAACATGTTTTGGTAACATTTTTTTCTGGGTACACCTTAGATTTGCTCTAAATCAACTAAACTAGAAATACAAGCATGGTAGTGAACAGTGTGTAATGCTGTGTAAATATATTGTATACTAGCAGTAGAGCCCGGCGTTGCCTGGGGATGTAACAGTAAGAGATAGATCAAGTATCAACCATCATAAAGACTGAAAAATAAAATTGACAAAGATTATTGTTTAAGGTTGACGGACAGGCATATCTTAATTAGTTTTATTTTTTTGTTTTTGTTTATTTTTTTTTTTTATTTTTTTTTTTTTTTTTTTTTTTATGAATTGGTCAAACTCAAACAAAACATTGTTATGACCTACTGATTGAATAGAATTTTATTATCAACAATTTTCTTGTAAATGGAATTTTTAAAGCATTCTGAATGTAAAAATAAAGAAAGTGTGCAAGACAATAAGAAACACTACCTGCCAAAAAAAAAAAAAAGTTTTGTTGAAATCGGTTGAAAAATGTAGGAAATCCGATCCCATATATAAACGAACACGCACACAAACAACCTGGGTTTTATAAAGTATAACTCGATATGAGTTGTCCCCCTTTCATTCTTGCGATGCCTCTTAATTGTGTTTTCAAATTGATTTCTTGCAAAAACAATTGTATTTTTCCAATTTTTGGCACTGTCAGAACTACCACACGGTAATTTTACGTAGTCCTGTGAAGTTTTGTTGAAATCGATTGAAAAATGTAGGAAATCCGATCCAATATATAAACGTACAGACACACACACACACACACAACTTGGGTTTTATAATAAGTATGATTTTTTGTGTCTGATACTAAAGAGATATTGTACTAATGCTCTTTCATGGTGTAAATTACCATATCGGTTTGAGAAAGGTTTGGAGCATCAGAAAAAGTTTCATGGGAATAATTTTTTTTTTTTTTTTCCAGCATATATTATGTATTTGTAAATTTATTTTTATTTAAATACATTAATAGTGCAGTAAAAGGCCTTGCTTTTATTACTGTTCACCCTCCCCATTGAGGATTATGTTTCTCTTATGTTTTTGGCAATCTTTTTTCAAAATGAATTAAATTTGGAAATCAAATGTAATTGTCTCTATTTTACAAGTATCTGTCAAAAAACACATGATAAAGTACTGTATCCAACAAACAAAAGATAATAAAAAAAATTTTTCTCCCATATATTACAAGGCCATGATAAAAAATAAGCCTAGCATGGGTACACTAGTTCTTAATAATTCAAGAATTAGTGTCAGAAATTAACAAATGCTGCCAATCATTTGTTTACAGTTATTCTATTTTATTTTTGATTTGTTGAAAAGATTTTCTCTATTTTTTTTAAAATATTTTTTTTATAAAAAGTTATGCTTTAAGATCTTTTGTTGTTGTCATTGTTAACATTTGAGAATTTTACAAAAATTTAATACATCAAAAACCTCTTAGCAAAATTTTTCTCAAGTTTGCCAAGGAGAAACAATTGTTGCTTATGCCACATATTAACTTTTAACTTTGTACTGCATATATCTACTTGAAAATATAATTTATGGGTATATGATTGTATCATTCACATAAGTACATCTTTCTATGAAGCCAAAAAAAGTTTCTTTAAAAAAAACAAAAAATACATAAATAACTGTTTGTTCAAAAGCTTTTTTGTTTTGTTTTGTTAATAATTAGTTTCTGCTTTGTAATTCTTAAAAAATAAACATTAAGGTATTATTTCTATGCAGTCTTGTATATAAAAATACATGTAAATTTTATTTTTTTAATGTTATTTATTTTTATTTTTTTAGAAAATTTTCTGCCTTTTTTCCCAAATTCTGAGATGGTTGAAGGTTAGATTTGCCAAAATATTTTAAATTGCTTTAGATCAAACATTATCAAAATGATTTTGTGTTTTTTAAATGTTGAAATAGGAATTGATTTAAGGATAACGTTATCGGTGATATTTTGTTGTGGCCACAAAAACATGAACATGCTAGCTAGCATTGGCCACCATTTCAAAACCTGTATTCGACAAATACATGAAAACACAGAAATGAAGACATGATGACGCACTTAAGTATTGAGAGTTCAACAATTATTTTAAGTCTGACATGCTTTACCTATTTAGCCACAGAGGAGCGTTTCATTTAGCAAGGTCGAGCAGATATGAATGTACGAGAGAAAATCATGGAGAATTGTAGTTTAAAAACTGTAAAATCGACCTTGCTAACCGAAACGCTCCTCTGTGTCTAAATTGGTAAAGCACGCCAGGCTGTATGACGGTTCCTTATAGGATACAGGTTCGATTCCTGTCGAAGGACACCTATTTTCTATGAAAATTTCTCGGACATTCAGGGCAGTAAATGTTAATACTGTTTATTATAAACAGAGCATTTACTTAAATATTTGTATCTATAAAAAGAATGTATAAACATAAAAATGTCTTAAAACACTTAAGAATCAAAAGTATTAATTAAACTCATTGAAAGCAACAAGTTTGTGAAATTAGTTAAAAAGAAAGGGCATATTATTTCATGAGGTAGATGTTTCTTCAGTGAACAGGCAGAAATTATTGCAGCTTTTCTAGTTAGTACATCTTTCAGTTTCCATTTAATACAGTTCTTGAATTCTCTCCAGAAAAATAGTTTTCTGGAAAACTAGAAAAGGTATCTCAAGCAGTTGTTTGTTGAGAAATATAAAATATTCTGGGAGGATGGAATTATGAAGTTAGCTGAAAGATGTCAGATGAAATGGTAATTATGTTGTTAATGCTTGAATAAAAATTAAAAAAAAATTAATTCTAGTTTGAACTTTTTCGCGAGCCTGATAGATTTTATTTAGATTTTTTTCTTTCTTTTTTTTTTATTCCCTTTTTTTTTTTTTTTTCTTTCTTAATCACTGATTATTTTCTCCTTTTGTTAATTCAGGTCAGTGTGGTAGGAGATACAGTAAATGTATCTGGTCAAAGTAATTGTACACCTGTGAAGGTACCCGAATGTCGGCTAAGTGATGATCTTGGTGGTTTGTTTGAACGATCATCCTTCAGTGATGTAACGTTATGTGTTGGAGGACGGGAATTCCAGGCACATAAAGCCATATTGGCAGGTAAATGAACAATAGACAAATCCTTTAAACTTAAGCTTATCTAACTTTATGCTATCATGAAATTTCAGTAATTCTTCAGACACGGTGTAAAATGATCTGTCAAAGTTCTTCTTCAATTAAATGTCATAAAATAAACTGTCATTTTATATCTATAAATGCTTTGATTTTATTAATGTTCTTTGCTTAAAATAATTTGTTTTATTCACTGATCTTTATTTTATGTTTCATTTTTGAAGTGTTGTTTATGCCACATTTTCATAAATTTGTGTGGCATCAGTGGTACAAGAACAGTTCCATGTTTTCAGTATTTATTTGTTGTATAGTCCATTACCCATTGCAATAAACGTATGTGCTGGTGGGGTCTTGTTGAATTGCAATAAACGTATGTGCTGGTGGGGTCTTATTGATTATATGCCATTCAGGGAATAGCAGTTTATTTTATTCTACTTAAGAATTACCAAAATTTCTACATTTTAGAAATGATTAAAAGGAATCATTTTCTGATTCAGGTCTTTTTTATTGGTATTATTTTTGAATTTCATTTGGACATGTTGTTAGATTGATTTATATAAAAAAAAAAAAAAAAAATGGGATCTCATTTTGTTTGCTTGTCAAAATAGATCAATAAAATATTTTAAACTTTTTCTTATGTTTCAGTAGAAAACAAAGGTTGTGACATATAAAAGCAGAAAAAAAAAATACTTAAATTTCTAGATTTAAAATATTGAAGAGGGCGGTGAAAGTTTTCCTGTGATAAAAAAACTGAACGTTTTTGTCGTTTACTACAAATTTTTCTATTTTTGTACCTATTCAGGTGGATTTTATTTATTATTTTTCAGCTCGTTCACCTGTATTTAATGCAATGTTTGAGCATGAGATGGAAGAAAGGAAACAGGTAGGTTCATTGTCTGCTTAAAAAAAAAAAAAAAAAAATGGTACTATGATTATTCATGTACAATTTGCACTAAAAACATTTGAGGTTTATCTAAAGAACCTAAAATTCTCTTTATGGTCAATGTCTAATTTTCTTTCCTACTTTAGGAACAGTTTTGTTAAAGAAATACATTTACTAATATAAAATGATTGGCAATCTTGAATCTTCATGTCTGCAAAAAATGTCTGTCAAAAGGACAGTTTTATTCTTGACACCAGTATTATTTTAACTAATGCACTCTTCAGCAGCGTTTATTATTATTATAATAAAGTAATAATTAGAATTGTAATAAAACCTATACATATGATGAAAATGAATTTTTATATATATATATATATATATATATTTTATATATTTTTTTTTTTTTTTTTTTTTTTTTGAGAATTTACAAAAATATTAAACACTATTTATTTATTAGATTATTTACAAGAATAATTTTGTATTTACGACATTCTAAACACTCGTATAATTCTATTAAAACTAATTCAATATTTATCATTTACCAATTTATAAATAAACAAATATGAAAACAATAATAAATAGTGTAAATAAACAATCTAATAGTGTTTATTATTTCTGCTGTAAATTCTCAAGAACAATAAAAATTTATAAACTCACTTTCATATGTTTCACTTTCATTACAATTCTAATCATCGCTTTTTAAAAGAATAAACCTTGCCAAGGAGTGAAGGTAGTTAAAATAATAGCAGTGTCAAGGGAAAGACTGTCCTTTTGATACTCCATTGTTTTTGTTTTTTGTGTTTGTTTTTTTTGTTTCTTTGTTGTTGTTTTTTTTGTTTCTTTGTTGTTGTTTTTTTTTTGTTTCTTTGTTTTTTTTTTGTTTCTTTGTTGTTTTTTTTGTTTCTTTGTTGTTTTTTTTTGTTTCTTTGTTGTTTTTTTTGTTTCTTTGTTTTTTGTTTCTTTGTTGTTGTTTTTTTTGTTTCTTTGTTTTGTTTCTTTGTTGTTTTTTGTTTCTTTGTTGTTTTTTGTTTCTTTGTTGTTTTTTGTTTCTTTGTTGTTTTTGTTGTTGTTTTTGTTTTTGTTGTTGTTTTTGTTTCTTTGTTGTTGTTTTTGTTTCTTTGTTGTTGTTTTTGTTTCTTTGTTGTTTTTTTGTTTCTTTGTTGTTTTTTGTTTCTTTGTTGTTTTTTTGTTTCTTTGTTGTTTTTTTGTTTCTTTGTTGTTTTTTTGTTTCTTTGTTGTTTTTTTTTGTTTCTTTGTTGTTGTTTTTTGTTGTTGTTGTTTTTTGTTGTTGTTGTTTTTTGTTGTTGTTGTTTTTTGTTGTTGTTTTTTCTTTGTTGTTGTTTTTTTTGTTTCTTTGTTTTTTGCTTCTTCTTTGTTGTTTTTTTTTGTTTGTTTTTTTTTTTTTTTTTTGCAGGCACAAAGGAGGTCAAAGTTTGCCAAATGTTCATTTTATTTTGAAGTTTTGTTTTGCAAGTTCTAAGCTGGCAATCATATTTATGTAATACTTATGTCTATTTCTGTTCATAATCTGTCTTTATGCTCTATTAAGTCAAATTAAGTTTGATAATTCTGTCCAGCTACCAATAAATTTACTAATAGGTTGAGTTTGTTATCTGAAGTTGTCATATTTTGTTTCAGAATCGTGTGGAAATCACTGATGTTGATCATGAAGTGATGCGAGAAATGTTACGTTTCATTTATACTGGAAAAGCACCAAATTTAGAGAAAATGGCTGATGATCTTTTAGCAGCAGCAGACAAGGTTTGTAGCCCCTATTGTCTTCCTTATTATTTTATTCATATGGAAGCTTTCTACTTCATGATGCTTGCTTTTTTATTTTATTTTCTCCTTTTTCATTTTCCTCTTCAAACACCCCCCCACCGCCTCTATAAAGTTTGATATTTCATTAACAAATTCTTTTAAAGTTTACTGTTTCTTTATATTTCAAATACAGTAGTCCCCCCCCCAACCTCATCCTGGTCTTATCTGTGCAGAATATGTATCAAGGTTCTTTGTAAATATCTGAAACTGCTCATGGTACCAAATCAAATATTTGTTGAACATGACAATAGAACATATATTAAAGCAAGGTACTATACACACACACACGCGAGTGTGTGTATTATGTCTATTTATTTTTTTCAAGTTCACAAATTTGTGATTTGAAAGGGTTAAAACTAAAATAAATAGGCATGTCTAAATTATTTAATCAAACATGCTTGAATAAAAATATGCTGTGTGTGTATATATATATATATATATATATATATATATAAAAACAAAGAATAAAATTCCAATTTTCAAAACATTAATTTAAAACAGGGCCCAATACAAGAATAGGATAATAAATATTTATTATAAACTGTTACATTAGAGCATGTGACACAAGGCACAGTGGATAAAGGCGTTAGTTAAATCCAGTGACAGGACCCAAAGAGTGCGAGTTCAATACCCGGTTAAGGCAGTGGAGAACTTGGAGAGGGAATTAAGCAGGAGATAACTGATATCCATTAGACGTGGCATGTGGAACTAGTACAGTCTACCCCAGTGACCGAAATAAAGGGTTCAGTTTGACATTCCAACCACCTGAAGAAGGGCAGAGCGTACAACGGCTGAAACGTGATAAATATGGCGACAAAGATGAGGACAATAGTCTGAGTAATTTAAATAGTGTACATAATACCTCATCTCAGGAATATGGACAGATATTACAAAATTGTACGTTTTGTTTCAGCATTTAATAAACATCTCATCAGAGACATTGTTCATTAAACGTTGAAACAAAATGTACAATTTTGTAGTAGTAACTTACATGTTCCAAAGTAAGAGTAAAGATGACTGACCAGGTACTGCAATTAAGCTTTTTATTTTTTTTTTTTTTTTTTTTTTTTATTTTTTTTTTTTTTTTTTTTTTTTTTTTTATTTTTTTTAAATTTTTTTTTTTTTTTTTTTTTAATTTTTTTTAATTTTTTTTTTTTTTTTTTTTTTTTTAATTTTTTTTTTGTGTTTGTATAAGTGTTTTCTTTTCTGGGCATGATGTATGTAAAAATTGTTCAAATGTTCTGCATATCCAAGTGCTTTCAGCTATTCTATTACCTATTATAATGGTTATTTTTTTTCTTTAACTGAATGTGTAATAATATTGGTTCTCGGGAATTTAGATCTTGCAGGTGTTAGTTTTTTATGATAAAGTTAGCAGTTTTAAATTTTTTTTATAGTTGATAATTTAATTTTCTTATTCTGGTTGACTAGGGTTGTGTATTTCTTTCTCATTTTTTTAAGAGGAAATTCTTCTTGCTTTAATGTGTATTTGGCTTTTATAGAAAATGTTAATGTTATAGATTTTATCTGTATTTTCAGTATTGCAATTGGTTATCTTAGAAATAGTCTAATCAGGTGATCGATGAGGTAATTCGGAAAACTGTTGTTAAAATTGTGCTAGTTAAAAAATTTAAAACAATTAAACTTATCAACAATACACCTCTAAGATCTAAATTACAGAAAACCAATATTATTTTTGAATAAAGAACTTAATGAACTGTCCCAGATCAAACCAAATTCATGAATAATTATATTGGATGTACCAATACATGCCTATCAAGAAGACTTGCATTACACCTCTCTGACCATAGCTCAATTTGGACTTATTTAAACACATGGGAACTTACCAAACTCCATCCACAACATAATTGTAGAAAATCCAAGTATAATAATCTCATCCATATGTTAAAAAAAAAGACTAAAAATAATGGAAGTACTAATAATAAAATTGGTAAATAAAAAAAAAAAAAATTCTTATCAATCTAGAAACATATAAAAAAAAATCTACACATTCAATTAAAAATGGAAAAAAAAACCCAACCCTCCCTTGATAATGGCTAAAAGCACTTGCATATACAGAACATTTGGACAAGTTTTACACACTTCAAATCCAGAAAAGAAATCACTTATACGAACACAAAAATTAAATAAAAAGCTTAATCACCGTATTTTGTCAGTTATCTTTAATGAAACTTTTATAAAAGAGGGATTGCTACACACACGTGTGTGTGTGTATATATATATATATATATATATATATATATATATATATACACACACATATGCACACAGAAAGTATTCATTTAAGTCAGTTTTATTGAATTCAGTTGACAAGATCTGTTTATTCACAATTTTGCTCTAGATATGCAATGACATTATTTGAAAATTGGGAAAAAATAATTAAAAATATTATCTCATTCTTAGTACAATATTCACTCTCTGCAAAAAAAAAAATCTTACAATCCAAAATGTTTTGGCTTGAAATAATTCAAAAAGTGTTAAGCTGTTAAAAAAAAAAAAAATCAATCTGCTGAGTAGTGAGTTTGATCCACATTGAGTGCCTCATACAAAATTGAACATTAAATAATCTAACCAAATAAATTTAGTAATTGTGTTCTTTTAATACATTCCACTTTTACTCTTATTTTAGTGATGACTTTTACTTTTTTCCTTATTCAATTTATATAAATGTCTTGGCTCATTTATAACTTCAGAAAGATTAAGTCTATCAAAGTGTTAGTATACTGAAAAGGATTCTACAGAGGGGGATAATGAAAACAATATTGTCATTGTTTCACTGAGGAGATATCCTGTGAGAAATTACTTTATTCTGTGCTATTTTACTTTGGTAGTGAATTGGGTAATCACTCATGGCAATTTGTAGATGGCCATGAAGCAATTATTACTCTAGTTCAGCATCCCACATATTTCACTGATATGTTATTCAAATATAACCTGGTCGCAAATGGTTAATATTTTAATCACAGGTTTAAAGAAGAAAAAAAAAAAAAATTCTTGGGAAAGTAGTAAAAATCTCCACCAATCATGGTACAAAAACAATGAAACTAGTTACTATTTCGTAGTTTTTATTTTATTTTATTTTTTTAAATTTTATTTGCACAACAAATACCGAGTTATTTCTGCTTTGAATAACAAGTTGCATGCTTTTTTCTTTAAAGTGATTTGAAACTTTTTTCATTCTGGTAAACTTTGCTGATAAGAATTATTTTCATAATCTTTACTTCTAAATTTAATTTTCACTTCGGTTATGTTTTTTTTATTAATGCAATTATGAAAAGTGTTGAAAAGATCTTGACTTGATCAAGAAGCCCCTCCCCGTTTTAATATTCGGGCCCCATTTTGGGTTTGGATAACTCCTATTCATAGGAAATTTAGAAATACTAAAATTTAAAAAAAAAAAAAAAAACGACTAATCTTACTAGGGTGTGAAATCTGTCTCTTATCTCTGAAATTATTCTTTTCACAATTTTTTTTTTTTTTTTTTTTACATACTGCTAATTAATTGCAAATTTTGTTTTTGTTCATATATTTTGTTACTTACGTAAATTGAAGTGAAGACTAAAATGAATTTGGAAGGTAGATCCTGGCTGAACATCATTAAAAGTTCAAATATAGTATAATTTCTTGCTAAGTCAAAGCAGGGTTGCTAGATTTGATTACTTTTCGGAAGCTTGGAGCTACTAAATTTTGAATTTCATTAGTTGCAACTTTTGGGGTTAAATTTTGATCCATAGCTCCTGACTTCAATTTAATTTAATACTTTTTCCCCTGTATACATTTAAATTATGATAAACAATAAATTTGAAAATTTCATTGAAATATGTTGGAAAACTTCCTAATTTTAATCTGAAATCAAATTACAAATTAAATAAATATGAATGATCACAAAATATGGTGGAGATATCAATTTCAACTGATACCATGAGGATACATGCTCATATAAACTGAGCTAACTTTTGCTTTTAACGAGAAAAAAATCAATTCTTGCTTATGGCCATGTCATGTTGAAACATTGGTTCCAATACAATCCTCGAAGTTAAGTAATGGTCTGTACCTATAGATGGGTGATGGTTAGAGAATACCAGGTACTGTGAATTTGGATGTGTAGGTGGTGTAATGGATAATGTCTCAGAATTGAAGAGCCAAGTTCCAATTCAGATTGGGTTTGTTATATTCATTTATGCACTAATACCCTTGGGGAAAGTATGAATTCACCTCTTCTCCCTCTAACTATAGGTTAATTAGTAAGACTTGTATCAGTAAACCATTATCTGCAAAAAAAAAAAAATTCTTACAATCTAAAAAAAAAAATATTCTGGTTATAAATAACCTGCACTGGGTTGATAAACTGTAAGAAAAGAAATCTATTCCAAATTTATTAGTGTTGTACTTTCAATTAAAGTTAAATTTGATACTTTTAACTCAACATGACAGAATTTTGTTTGCATCTTTTTTTTATACCCTTTCTGTTTTTCACTAAAATTTTTTTTTCTTTTTTTAGGCTCATTACTAGTGTTTGGTGATAATTTATTTCATTTCCTTTATTTTATTTGCTTTGTTTTTTTTTTTTTTTTTTCAGTATGCACTTGAGCGATTGAAAGTTATGTGTGAAGAAGCACTTTGTTCAAATCTTACAATAGAGAATGTCTGTGAGATTCTTGTCTTGGCTGATTTGCACAGTGCTGATCAACTGAAAACCCATGCCATTGATTTCATTAACAGGTATACAACTTGACCCTTTCTTTTCTTTACTTTTTAATATACTGCTTTTATTGACTTTCCAAATTTTTATTTTAGCCTTGATAAAAATTAACATTACGAAGATGTTCATCTTGGAAGATTTGTAAAATTTTTTATGATGCTTCTTATTGCTTAACTGATGAATTTTAAGATCTACAATGGAACAATAAATTTAGATCATAGAAAATCTTTTACTTTCCACCAGAATATAGATTATTTACAATGCTGTATTCATTTTTATGAATAGTATAAATTATAACCTCTCATCCATAGTACGACTCGGTTTCAATCTTCAGGTACTTATGATGGTGATGGACTGTTTCTTATGAAGATTGTACTTAACATGAAACTTGGAGTCATACTATCAATGTAAGGTCATGTGTATATTTATTAATATAAACTTTATAGCTTCTTTAATGCTGTAGGGGAAGGTCCAGTCTGTAGTGATCACCAGATTACCCTAATGAATTTGTTTACACAAAATATGAAACAAGAAGAACCACATTCAACAAGAAAAGTTGCATAAGTAAAAATGGAATTTATATATGCATAACAACAATTATACAAAACAGTAATTCAGTTGTTTGAAATGCTGAAATTTACTTGTCCTTGGAATTTGGTGTGAGGAAAATGTTCGTATTGATAAACTGTGAAGTTTATTAAAAAGTGTGTGAGTTTGGAGAACTTTAGTAAGATGTATTGTTACTTGTAATAGAATTAAACAGTTATTTACTCACAATGTTATGTTAAGTGTTCACTGGCAAGAAGAATGTTATTTGCTGTAAGAGTTAGAGAGTGCTCTGGGAAGCTGAGATTATGTTAATAGGTAACTTTTAGCTTCAGAATATGTGACATAGTTTTTCGAAGGTGATTGGTTGCTGGTCACTTTCTCACAATGTTAAGTGTTTCTGTCCTTGGGCTTGAAGAAGTGAATGTTCATAGATTTTTGTATGTACGTCATGATGTTTCATAGCATTTCCCCCTATTTCTCTACTGAGCTTACATCGTTATATCTATATGTATATATATATATATGTCTCTCTATATATATATATATATCTCTCTCTCTCTATATATATATATATATATATATATATATATATATATATATATATATATATATGTATCTATATATATATATATATATATATATATATATATATATATATATATATATATATATATATATATATATATATATATATGTATCTATCTCTCTATATATATATATATCTCACTCTATATATATGTATATATCTCTCTCTCTCTATCTATATATATATATATCTCTCTCTCTCTATATATATATATATATATATATATATATCCTCTCTCTATCTATATATATATATATATATATATATATATATCTATATATATATATATATATATATATATGTATCTCTCTCTCTATATATATATATATATATATATATATGTATCTCTCTCTCTATCTATATATATATATATATATATATATGTATATCTCTCTCTCTCTCATCTCTATATATATATATATCTCTCTATATATATATATATATATCTCTCTCTATATATATATATATATATATATATATATATATCTATCTCTCCATCTCTCTCTCTCTCTCTATATATATATATATATATATATATATCTCTCTCTCTCTATCTATATATATATATATATATATATATATCTATATATATATATATCTCTCTCTATCTATATATATATATATATATATATATGCTATCTCTCTCTCTCTCTATCTATATATATATATCTCTCTCTATCTATATATATATATATATATATCTCTCTATATATATATATATATATATATATATCTCTCTCTCTCTATATATATATATATATATATATATATATATATATCTATATATATATATATATATCTCTCTCTATATATATATATATATATATATATATATATATATATATATATATATATATCTATATATATATATATATATATATATATATATATATATATATATATATATCTATATATATCTCTCTCTATATATATATATATATATATATATATATATATCTATCTATATATATATATATATATATATATATATATATATATATATATATATATAGTGTGTGTGTGCATGCACTATAGGTAAATAGTTTAGGCAAACCCTCTTGGAATTTTGAAGAATTGGCTAAAAACTGAAGGTTTCATACGTTTTTCAAAAGTAATTTACTTGCTCATTTTGAATCAGAGGGATATTTTTATTCCTGAAAGGTTTTATCATATATTCAATAATAATAACCAACAAAATTAATCTGTTACTGCATAAAAGTTCATTCAAATTTTAGGTTTTGGCCTGATCTACCTTGCTGGCTAATGGTAATCTTAGGGATGGTGGATTTTAAAATTTAGGTAACCTCCCTCTCTTAAAAAAAAAAAAAATTGGACAACATGCACGTTAAATAGTTTTAGTGTCCTTAGTAGGAGTCAGTTAAACTAAAGAAAGTATAAAATTTATTAATAATTAAATCCAGAGAATAACCCAAACTTTTGGCCTGTAATATGTGTGTGTGTGTGTGTGTGTGTGTGAAAGGAAAGGAGTCCATTGAGAATCAATGATGAACCAACAGCTAAGTGAATTGCACAGGTTAGTATGATTGCAATGGTTTGTGCTGAGCCACAGCAACCCTGTCTTCCTACTCCTACAATACCAGGGCACACAGGGAGCAAAAGCAGGCTGCAGGGGATGCCAGATAGTACTGAGTTATTAACTGCCTTTAGGTCCCTCTCCTCTCTGTGTGTGTGATATATATATATATATATATATATATATATATATATATAAATAAAAGTGAATGGTCAGACTTATTATTTTTTTCTTTTTAATTTCCACACCTTTTTGAAGCTATCTTCAGTACACCCTATGTATATTTTTCTCTGGCCATTTGTATCTATATTACTTCTGCTTTGTAAATTACTGCTTTTGTTTTGCAAACTTCATCTAATGGACATCTACTTTTATTTCTACAGTTGCATATTTCACTGTTAAGTGTTTTGCTGCACGTTAGTTGTGAAATTTCTGGTATTTTGTCTTTTTATCGTGGTTTTTAAATTACTAGTACAGCTGTAGCTTAATTTAACTGTGTTTTTATTAAATATTTTATGCAATTCAGAATTTTCGGGAAGTGTTTAATAATTTGAAAAATATTTTCCCTATTTTATATTTGACCCGAGTTGGTTATCTAGAAATTCCTCTCGTAAAATATTCAAAGATAAAAAGAAAGAATATGAAAAGGCTTTCAAAAGAAGAGGGGGGCATAAAACCAAACTGGAATTGAAACCTTAAATAAAACAATAAATGAAGAAAAATTTGAGAAAAAGAAAATATATTATTTGTAAAAATGATTGATTCCATTGGTGAAGTTGAATTAAAAAGAATAAAAAACTTGTAATTCCAATGGATAATTTATTGTTAAAACATATTTTGGAAAGCTTTTGAAATCCTTGATCACTCTTGAGAAATAAATGAAACAGTGACTAAGCTATACTGTATACGTTCTAAATTCAAATTAACAAAGAATTTCATCGAATTGAGCTTGCGAGACATGTGTAAGCTGAAAGTGTGAGGTTTGCTTAAAGAAAGAAATGTCATTCCAAACTAGGATAAAAAAAAAAAAAAATGTATGCCTAGATTTTTTGAATTTTTCATTGAAGTAGGGAAGTCAACGAAAAATACGAAAAACTAGGCTGAAGATATATATATATATATATATATATATATATATATATATATATATATATATATATATGACATGAACTGATGTTTGATACTTTAACACTTCAAGCAATTTTTTCAGATGCTGGTTCCATATAATTAAGATGTTCTGAATACCACTTGAAGTGTGAAATTGACTGTTACCTGCCATGTTGATTCCTATGTCCACACTGTCTATATTTATAAATACTCTATTTCCAATATTGAGCACTCTTTCCCTATAAATATAGCAAATTTTTTTTTTTTTTTTTTTTTTTTTTACCCCAAAATTTTTTTCCAGTTGTCCCAATTCAGAATCTTTTTTTTTTTTTTTTTTTTTTTTTGCTCTTCTGCTAATTTTTCTATCTAATTTTCCTCTTTGTATTTCAGTCATGCAACAGATGTGATGGAGACAACTGGCTGGAAGACTCTGATCCAGAGCCATCCGCACTTAATTGCAGACGCGTTCCGAGCACTGGCCAGTCAGCAGTCTCCTCCACTGGGCCCACCTCGTAAAAGAGTGAAGCAGTCCTAGAAATGGGTGTACTATTCTTAAATAGGCTGCCATCTGTTTCTTTCTTAATTTTTTTTTTTTTTTTTTTTTTTTTTTTTCCTATTCTGGCTGCTGACACTTTATAATAATAATAATAATAATACTCTCCTCATTTCTGTGGGTGCCATGCTGCCACTCTGGTCTGCTGACCCCCCCACCCCCAAACTCACTATCCCTCAAATTTTTACTGACATCAGCACAGTTAACAGCCAGGCCATATCATGCTGACCCTAAACCTTGAGTCCATTTCCAAAATTTTACTACCAACACCCACCACACTGTGGTTGTTGCTGTTGCTGCTGATTTGAATTTGCCTCATCTCCATTTAAGAACTTTAGTCATTCACAATTGATACATCATTAATTCTTTAATGATCACATATATACGTTACATACACAACAGAAATTTTGATATAAAGATGAAAACGTCCCCTAGATTCTTTTTATCAGTGAAAAATATTAACATATTTTTTTTTTCTTGACGACTTTTTATCATTCTTATTCAACTCGCCAATATTTGCCATTGTCTGGTCCAAGAAGTCTCTTTAATTCTAGATAGTGGCAATACAAGTGAGGCGTTACAGCAGCTATTCTAGTAACAACCACGGCAGTAGAAAGACAGATAGGTGACTGGGAAGGGCTGCATGCGTGGATTTTAGGCAGTTACCTACTGTGTTAGGTAATAGCCATCATTTTCCTCCTCATCTCCAGTGATGCTACCCAGGGGTAGAATATCATGTACATATCTGGTAAATGCTTTTTCCACCAAGACATTTTATTTATTTAAAAAAAAAAAAAAAAAAAAAATTTGAAAAACAATCATTAAAAAAAATATTAAACATGCACTCACTCAAATTTGAAAAAGTGTCCCAATAAAAAAAAAAAAAAAAAAAAAATAATAATAAAAAAAGACATTTTTAGAACCAGAGCCAGCTCTCTAGTCCTTCCATTGTAATTGAGGATTTTTTTTTTTTTAATTTATTTTTTATTTTAAATTTATTTTAATTTAATTTTATTTTTTTAACTGCTGGTGCTGCAAAACTAAAACTGATTTATCTGGACACTAAGTGGCAGGTTATCTGTTCCCAGTTAATAGCAGTGTCATTATGGAGATAGCAACAAATAGGAAGGGGTTCTTGTGTGGCAGAGGAGAGGGAGTGACTTCAAACTAGCCTATGATAAAGATGATGTCTGGTTGCAAGTAGTTTTTAAAGTTAGCGAATGGAACTTTGAACTTTTTTTTTTGTTTATCAATATACCCAACATCCCCTGCCACCTTTTTAAAATGCATTGACAATTTAATAAACATTCCTTGGTGGTATAATTTCTCGTACGACTTTAAGAAGTGGCAAAAAGCTCCAGATGTTACTGATTCCGATAGCAGTACACATCATTTCAATCAAAAAAAAAAAAATTCAATTGCTATCAAATAATTTGGAAGCTTTAGATTTACTGTTGCTGTTAAAAAAATTACTTTGGGGGGAAAAGGGATAGTTAAAAGTTGAGATTTTTTAACATCTTATTAAAAAATATGTCTTAATTCGAGTTTTGAGAGTGATAAGTCTAAGTTTGTATAACACAAGATTTACAGATCATGAACAGGAGATAGTTTTAAAAAAACTAAAACAAAAAAATGTGTTTCTACAAGAAATAATCATGTTTTCAAAATTTTGTTTCAAATTTTCAATTATGCCCTCCAGATCTCAAATATATAAAAAAAATTTTTTTTTATTTTAATTTTCTAAATTTTAAGAGTTTGGATTCATTTTTCTATGTAACACTATTGTAAATTGATTCCCTTACACAAGCCAAAATAAAGGTAAGTAAGGGAAATAAGTAAGTATAAAGGGAAAGGTAAGTAAATCTATTTTTAAATTTTGTATATAAGCATTATTTTAACACAATACAGGAATAAGGTAAGTAAAAATGTTTTAATTAATATAAATATTAACTTTTTTGATTTAAAATTGAAATTTTTGTAAAGTTAGTAAGAATTTTTTAGCACATAGTATGAACATTTTTTTTTTTTTTTTTTTTTTGGTTTGCATAGGAAGTGGGGATCAATTTAAAATGAATTTTTTATTTAGCAATTTGAATCCATCTCTTGAAATTTAGAAAAATTTTTTTTTTATCTGGAGAGTTTAATTGAGAAAAAAAATGCTTATTTCTTGGAGAGGTGAATTTCTGTAGTGGGTGGGGGGGAAATCCTTTTACAATTACTAGAGAATGAGAGAAAAGTTTGTCTTTACTACTATTTACTGGACACAGGAAAAGCAGTAGCATTTTATAGATAAGCTTCAGCATTTATTTCAGCTTTAAGTGCATACCAGCAAAGCAATTGCTGGGCCTAATAGATTTTTCTGAACCTACAATTTCCCACCACTACATCTATAAACTAACTTGTCATGCTTATGCAAATTATCGGCAATTGATTTAAAAATGTCACTTGTACATTTATCACATTCTTCATATTAGTTCTTTTTCCAGGAACGAATTAATTATAACCCACCCCTAAAAATTTCATAAATACCATTTTATTTATTATTTTTATTCTTTTTGAGCATATTAATTTTGTCATTAGGAAATTTAATTATTTTTTTCCCAAGTGAGCAAGTGATAAATCACTTTCTTTTCCTAAGTGTGCCCAGTAAATGGTAATCAAGTCAAAAGTTTATACCAGGTTCACAATGCAAATAATAGTAAAAACAAGTTTTCTCTTTTCTTTTTTTTTTTTTTTTTTTTTTCAAATGTTTCTCCAACTTTTGAAAAGACTTAGTGTTCTCAAATATTAAGGCATATTCACAATGTGATACATGACCAAAAATTGCCAATATGTTAACTTAGAGAAAAGATTTTTTTTTTTTTAGCAATATTTTAAAAGAAAAAGATATGAATGAAACAAGCTTAAATATTGGCTAAAATGTACATTTTGGGTTGAAAGTAAAATAAAAAATCAATTTAGGTATGCTTGTTAGTCCTTTGATTTCTTTTCTTCCCCCACTCCCTCTCTATCTCTCTCTAAAATGTGAAAGAATTTTACTTGAATTTGATTCCACTTTGAAATTTAAATTTAGATTAAGCATTGTTGGAATATAGTGAAAGAAAACTGTTTAAACAAAAGACTATTCTTCAAAGTTCTTCATTATCATATCGAATATCTCAGTTTGGAATCCTAATGTAAATTTTTTTTTTTTTTTTTTTTTTTAACATCAATATTTTTCAATAAAAGAAAAATATTTTCTTTGGTTATATATTTATTTATAGATGAGACTTTTAAAACTTCTCTTCAGGCCATTTCATGTGAAGAAAAAGAAAAGTGCCATATTAATTATTAATTAACAAATAAAAAAAACAAAACAAAATTCACCATTGTCCTGCTGGGTTTGTAACCCACAAATGAATATTGCTCCTTTTTAAAATCAATGCCCTCTCAACTCACCTTCCTAAGCACCTAAAAATGCCTTCAATAGATTTTTATTACATATAATTTCTCAAGTGCACATTTTTGTATATTATAACTATGAATATATTGAAATCTATCGATATACAGGGTGTGGCAGAAACACCTCCCACATATACCTGCCAGTAGTAGCTCTTATTGTCTTACCATTATGTGGGAGTTATTTCTGGGAAGTATTACTGCTGCACCCTGTATTAGAATCCCTCTTCTCCATAAATGTCTGATTCAGTAAAAAAATTGAAGTTATACCTCTTTAATATGGCCACTTTGGGGTCTGGTCATTGTCCGACCACAGAAAATGCCAGAAAACGGAAGATGATCTTGATTTTTGCTAAAAGTGTGGAAAATAGAATGGTATATTTTTAATATAGTTTATATTTTAGGTGTGTGGAAAAGTTTTTTTTTTTTTTTTTTTTTCCTTTTCTCGTCTTTTCCTCCTCTCTTCTCGTCTTTCCTCCTCTCTTCTCGTCTTTCCTCGTCCTCTCTTCCTCTCGTCTTTCCTCTTCCCTCTTCCTCTCTTCCCTCTTCCTCTCTTCCCTCTTCCTCTCTTCTCTCGTCCCGTCTTTCCTCCTCTCGTCCCGTCTTTCCTCTCTTTTCTCATTTCTCTTTACAAAAACTGGTCTCCTACTGTCTACTTAGAAAAAAAAAATGAAGATTTAGGAAACTTGCACATCCATACTAATAATTTAAATTACCCACATGTAAAAAAAAAAATGTGTATGTAATATATATATATATATATATATATATATATATATATAACTAGTCTTTAAGAATATTTATTTTATTTACTTTTATTGGTTTTAAAACTTAAAACTTAAATTGAAATGGACAGACATGTGGCCATACCATGGCCTTGTTCTAATATATATATATATATATATATATATATATATATATATATATATATATATATATATATAATATGTGTGTCTGAAACATTCTTCTGTGGCACCATGAGAATTTACCACAAAGATGGGGATGGGTAAGTTATTGATCTTTATGGATTCTACTGGTGATATAAAGAAATTAGAATTATTTTATAGTTAATACAATACTTGTTAATTTTTGTGAGTGGAACATATTCAAGAATTTAGTTTTTAAGAAAATGTTCTTTTCTTTATTTTTTTTGTGTGTGTGCGGCACTTTTCACTGTTCGTGGGTGACATAAATTTGTTAAGCAATTCACTTGTTTCTATCTATTGAAAATAGAATTTTAAACTTGACTAAATATCATGGTTTTATTTATATCTTAAATTATTTTTAGACCACCGATAAATGAATATTAATTTTCTAATTTTAGTGTATTTAAAACAAAAATTAGAAATACCACCTTTTCCCTTTCTTTTTTTAAAATTTTTCTTTCCGTAATGGTAGTAGTAAAATTACATTAAAATAATTATTTGTTTGCTTTAACTGGTAGTATTAAAAATAAGTTATAAGATTTAGAAAAATAATTTGATGCTGAAATATCAAGTTGTTGAATGTAGAGTTATTTGATTTGATTTCAAACTATAGTTAGGCTTTTACACATTCAGTTTAAAAAGTTGGTTTATAATCTACTAAATTACTGTTCAAACTATGGTTTTTAACCAAATCAAGGAACTCTTGTGGCAGATTCAATACCTCCTGGGTTATGTAAGCTGCCAGACCACAGTGTTGAATTAGAGGGGTACAACTGTATTTTCACTCTGAAAAGGTTTACTTCTGAGTTACGTCCAAATATTTATCCACATTTATCTAACCTAGACATTAGTAGATAATAGAAATACCACCTCCGCCCCGCCTTTTTTTTTTTTTTTATTACCAATACAATCACTTACTTTCTGCCCCTTTTACACCGCCATTAACCCATTTTCTAATGCCAGTATTCTATGCAAAAAGAATGTTTTGCGTCTTTATATTAGTAAATTGGATATCGCCACCTGAAGATATTTTAAAAAGAAAAAAAAAAGGAAACCTGATTATCACATTTTGACCCCCTCCCCACAATCACATACATCCCACCCCTTCCCATTCTATTGCAGCAATTTTTTCTAGTTTGTGACTATAATCATTCCAATATAAAAATTACTTGGATTGTAACAATATTCTCATTGGACTGAATGAGAGACTAACCCTCCCTATTACATTTCAAGTTGAATTGTTCCACTTGTAGTAGTTTTTTTTTTTTTCTTATTACATATACTATCAAGTGTGTCTGGGTGTTTTTACAATTTTTCATGAATATAGCAGATGGACTATATTTAAATTCATATACACAGAAATAAATCAAAACAATTAAAACCATCTATTCTGTTTTCTTGTTAGTGAATGGAGACTATTAAAAACTTGAAATAATTGCATTATCATATTTAAAAGACGTATACTCATGTTTGTTAATTTTTGGGATTGCTTTCTCTCCTTTTTTTCTTTTTTTTCTTTATTTTTTTTTTCTATTTTTTTTTTTCTTCTTTCTCTCCATGCATCTTCAAGATTTTTATTGGAGATCCTTTAAGTGGATTTAAATTTTTATTTTTATTTTTTTTTTATTTTTTTATTTATTTCCATCCTTTGAAGGAATGTTATCATGGAATATATTATAAAAGAAAAAAAGTACACTATTTAATATAAAAAAATTAATACACTTTTTTAATTTGTCAATATCTCTTATTACTACAAATGTTATTGTAATGGGTAAACTTGCTTGTGGAACTCTCTTCCAGCTCCATGCTTTTTAGCCAACTTTGATTTTCAAAAATTTAAATGCAATGGCAATCATTATCTATTGTCTTGATTTCTCTTTTATTGTTCTCACTCCTTAATAATATTTTTTTCCTATTATTTCACACTCAGGAACCCCTTGTCTTAGTGGTTTTACTACCTTGCATTGGGTGATTTTTTTTTTTTTTTTTTTTTTTTTTTTTGAGTAGGCATTTACTAAAATCAGTGTCTACTGGCCTAGATCATCAAAAATTCTTATAAAAGTAAATGTACCTCTCGGCTGGAATTGAACCTACATTCTTTTGTCTAAAAAATGGTTTCCCAGAGAAAAGCAGATACAGATTTAATCTCGGAGATAACAAGACATTTGATGATCTAATCATGTTAATTTCACTGTTTATAAATACCTACTCACACATTTAAGGCTTACAAACACATCACATTGAAACACTGGTTCCTGTACAATCACTGAAGTTAAGCAACATTGAGCCTGGCTAGTACCTAGATGAGAGACTGCTTGTGAATACTGGGTGCTTTGTGTAAGCCTGGATTTGTGAGTGGTGTCATGGATAATGATTTGGAATTGTTAATGATAGAACTGGGTTCCAAGTCCAGATGTTTTCATTAGATTCACTTATTTGCAAATAACCTTTGGCAAGATATGAATCCACCTCTTCCCTCCAGCTATGGGTTAATTAGTAAATTTGTATCACTAAAACATTATCACCAAAAATAAAATTACATACAAAATATTTATATTTTGGCATATAGAGGTGTTGATATGCTGCTAAACAAAAACAACTAAATCAAACACATTTACCCATTAAAATAACATAGTAATAGATAGTATTTTTATTTTTTATTTTTAAAATGTCCATTTTCAAAATTAAAAAATAAACAGATGTCTACTCAAATGTGTCCTCACCAAAATAATGTTTAATCATTTAATATCCAAATTGTTTTTCTTTTCATTTTTCACCTCTTTTATAGAAATCATATTTTTAATAAATTGATAGTTTGTTTCCAGTTTTAGATATATTTTTTCATATTTAAACAGTTTTATTTATTTATTATATTAATCAGATTACCCCCCCACACACACACACTTTTTTCTCTTTCTTTTTTTTTTTTTTTTTTTTTTTTTTTTTCCTTTAGTTTGTCTATAGTTTACTGGGCACACTATTCTGGACTATGACTTGTATAAAATTGTTGACTAAATGGAATCGATCAATGCATCTACAGTGCCAATAATTACAGCAGCAAAGAATGAATTCGAAGAAAATTTAAGAAATAACAAATAATTTAAATAACATAATCTTGTTTATTCTTGTTCTAGATCTGCCTTAAATAGGCAATTATATTCAACCTCAGTACAATTAGATAAAGACATTAAAAATAGCTATGGTTATCAGACTGTTCAATGAGGCCTGAAGTGGACTTGTCAAAATATTGTGACGAGATTGCATCACTATTTTAATTAATTAGGTTTGTGTGTTTATTAATTTGATTTAGTCAGGTGTTTTATTCAAGTCATCTGCCTTCAGGACTGTCTGGCAAGCTGTAGTTGAGCCTTTTTTTTTTTTTTTTTTTTCTTTTTTGTAGTGACAAGAACACTTTCATTGATCAATTTGCCTCTTAGAGAGGGTGCAGCAGAAATACCTCCTATATAATGGTAAAACATTAGCTATATGAACACACCATTGCCGCTAATGTCTTACCATTATGGGGGGGTGTATTTGTGCCGTCCCCTGTAGTAAGATTGGATAACATCAACAAAAAAAAAAAAAAAACTAAGACAGGATGCATGAAAACTGTGTATTTGTATACTTGTAAAATGTATAAAATTAAAACAAAAATTTTCGACTATTAAATACCAACCACCTCTCTTTGTGTCCTTACCTTTTATAGATACTGGCATCTACTTACCATATTTTACATCAGTGTCCATTTTTCTTTTCAATGCATATTATAAAAGAGAAAGTGCAATTTGATGTGGTGCAATGGCTAGCAAGCTTGCCTTGCTAGATTAATTACAACTAAATAGTGAGTTCAATCCTTGCTAGGGCACTCATATTTTTGGCCTTGTGCCACATCTAAGCTATGCTTAGAAAATCGCCATATTATAAGGGAGAGTAGGCCTACAAACCTCAATTTTCTTTGCTCATCTAAAGGTTTAATAACTAGTTCTACTACTACAACATCAAGCAGACAAACTACATTCTTTAGTGCCACCAGTTCTCACCTTCATGGCTAAGACACACCACGCTATGCACATTGTAGTAACCACCCACATTCCCTTTGTATTCCATTCGTGCGAATTTTCTACTAGAGCAGCTTCTTCTGCAAACTGCTGCTCTGTAGAACTGACTCCCAAGAGGATGTTTTCTCTATTACAACAATCTTAACCTGTTCAAGTCTAGTGTTAGACATTATGTTCCTTACTTATCCCCATAAATTGTATCTCTTACTCTGTAATCCTCTACCTTGAGTGGCTCCTGGTACTCATACAGGGTGGACCTCAGTAAAAAAAAAAAAAATTCTCAGTATTCATAGACACACTGTCTGCTCCTCTCTGTTGTTTATGATGATCTGCAGTTCTTCAGAATTGCTCACCCTATTTTCTGCAAAGGAAAGGAAATTGTGGAGAGCCATGATCGCCCAAATCCTGAAGGTACATAACATATAGAAGACTGTATCTTCTAGTTTTTATTGGTTGACCTAGTACTTTTGCCATGAATTGGTTGCCACAGCAGTACATCAGCAACAAATCCTTCCTTATGGTGCAGTGTCCTACAAATCTTAAAGCTTCCGTATAGTTTCAGATTTGGGAAGGATTTTGCCATAGTAATCTTTGTTTAATTGTTGACACCACAAGATGTTGGAGTATGCTATTGTAATCCCTAGTGTTTTTTTTTTCCATTGATGATATCAGAATTCAAGCAGTTGAGCCATAGACAATGGAGTCAACAGCAGTATAGAAGAAGGGGGAGGTCTGATTTCTATATCCTTATAAGTTTAAGGGCACCCAGACTTCTAATGGACATGTCATTTTTAGTGCTTGCAATATAGCTCCCTAGATATTTAAAATTTCACCAGATTTAATTTATTCCTCACTTAAGGAATGTAGGATGTCATCTGTACTCTGCTTATAGGCCATATACTCCATTTTAGAAATATAGAGGCTGATCTTGCTGGTCACTTGCTCTAACTTATGAAAAATACCACTTACTTCTTTAAGGTGATTAGTCATCATAGCTAAATCATCTGCATAGTTTGTAACTGTCATCATCTTGGTATACCTTCTGCTCTTTCTCTGTCGAAGTAAAACCTGAATGGTTGTTGATATTGGGTTTTCTGAACACATAGTCAACAATCCTGACTCATTATCCATTAAACAACCCACATGTTCAAGCACCTGCTATTCCCAAATGGTAACCCATCAAGTTACTGACCAGGCTTGATGTTATTTTGGTGATCGTATGGGAGCCAGTGTTTCAATGTGATGTGGCTGTAAGCAAGCTCGTAGGCAAGACATGGTAAACTAATGAAAGAGTAAATATACAAAGGAAATTATTACTTATATCAGTCAGTTATGTGCCATGCATGATACACACTTAGGCAATCATGTATCTTTGATACATGACTGACGAGGCAGATTTTTTCCCACAGTAGGCTGCCATTTTTTTCTGTGGTAGACCAGTTGTCATCCAAGGCTATAGAACCTGGTCTGCCCTGCTATTTACCCATTACTGGGGGATTACTTATATACAAAATCAAATTTACAAGATCAGTACAATAAAAAAATTTCTTTGATGTGCCATGTCGCTTCAGGATGTTGGTGATCATGACTCTCCTCATTTTCTTGTCCTTTGTAGCTCTTGCTAAATTTTTTTTTTTTTTTTTTTTTTTTTTTTTTTTTAAGCGTCTCTCCTAAACCGTGTTCTGTAAACCATTTACACAAGCTTGTTAGAAATATTATACAATGCTTTCCTCTGTCCCTCTTGCCTTCAATATGCCCTATGAGGATCTTATGTGCCCTATAAATTTCAAATGTCTTTTCCTCGTGTTAAGTATAAGTGTCCTTTTTGTTTCCATTTTTTTTCTAAAAACATTATCATTGCTCACATGTTCAGTCCATAGTGTTCTCAGCATTCTTCTGTAAAAACACATTTCTTTTGCTTCAAATTTCTTTCTTCATCTGTGAAGAAATTGTTCAGCATTCACTGCCATATTGGAGGACTGATATTACGTAACAGTTCAGTACTCTTTTCCTTGTTTCTAATGAAATTTTTCTGTTTCTTAATACTTTGCTTAGCTTTTGGAAGGCATCTTTCGCTATCCCAATGCGCCTTCACATTTCGGTGTCACACTTTCCGTCCTTTGTTAAAACACTTCCCAGATATTTCAATTTTTATACTTGCTTGATTTTGGTATCTCCAGTTTGTAATTTGCATTTTGGGCTGTTAATTTTGCTGATAGCTATAACCTCCATTGTATTTCTAAATTAAAAGTATGAATTTCTGCCCGAGTTTCTGGGACTATTGTCCACATGTAAATCACAGCATTTCGACCATTATGCCAGTCTACACCTGTCGATTAAATAAAGGGTTCAGTTTAAAATTACCTGTAGGTTACCTGGATCAACATACACCTGATGAAGGTCAGAGAGTACAATGACTGAAACATGATAACAGAGATGAGGATAATAACCCATATGTAAATAAAAGTATATAATTCAGTGTTTGCCAGTGGGACAATTTCAATTCTGACTTTACAAGATGTGCAAATTTCATAGTTTTCCTTTTTGAATTTTCTGATGAATCTTAATTCTTAACTTTTAAGTTACTGATTGAATAAGCTCATGGTGAGTTCTATAACAATAAAATATCCATAGAAATTCCCCTATCGCATCGTTAAATATTTGAGCTTAACTACTTTAACAAAATATTGCAATAAAAATCATGAATATGAATGTTTATCATTATTTTAAGAAGTGGGTACAAATGAAGATTTGAAATTGAGAACTTTTCCATTTCACTGAAACATGTTTAGCACTTCTATCTTCCATTTTTTTCTTTTATTCATTTTCTCACCAAAACTAAATAGTGTATGTATTGTTTTTCTATGCATTCAAAACTGAATAGGCCATTATTTATGTGGCATTGGCAGGAGACATTAAGCATTTCTATCATCTTTCTTTCTAGTCAAATCCCCACCTTACAAACATTACTCTTAATAATAATCTTAAAATAATTCAGCAGATGATGTTATTTTATTTATGGTAACAGGATTTTTCGGCAATTGCCTTACTTAGTTTACATTGGTCAATACTGTGCGTGTTTGAAAATGGCAATTTTATTGTGGTTGTCATCACTTCTTGGCTTTTTGGCTAAGATCAAAGTGTAGTATCTGTTCTTATTAGCTTAATCTGATTCTCTCTCTCTCTCTACTTCTGTCTTCCCTTCTTTCTTTCTTTTCATTTTCTCACTGAAACCAAATAGTGTCTTTTTCTCCACGATCGTAACCAAATAGTTC